GTCGGCCCTGAGGGTCTGCGCGGATCACCGGGGTGGCATCAACTGGCTCAGCCTGAGCCCCGACGGGCAGCGCCTGTTGACCGGCAGCGAGGACGGAACGGCCCGGCTGTGGAGCACCGCGGACGGCCAGTGCTGCGCCCTCTTCCAAGGTAGAGCCCGGCGGCCGCCTCTCCCTCAGCCCTCCTACCTGAGTGCTGGGGGCTGCACCGCTTTCCCTCCGCAGACTCCCTTCCAAAAGCTCAGCCCCGGTCCATGCCGGGACCGCACTTGGGAGAGTGGGTGGGAGCAGAATAGGGTGCGCTCGGCACAGCCCCCAGCCCGCCGAAGGCACCGTGGTGTGGGTGGGTTCACATGGGGTGCACTCAGGGTCGGGTGCGCGGACAAGCCGCCGCTCTCCTCCGGGGGCTAGGATCGCTTGTCAACCAACCTCACTAAAACAATTTTAACAAACAAACACAAGAAATCGCACCTATAATCAATCCTTAGCTAAACAAAACCTTCACTTTTCTCTCATCGGCCTTGTGACCTTTGGCCAGACATTTTTTCTCCCAGGGCCACTCTGGTAACAAGGGCTGATATATGTCAGGGTCTTGTTACGTGCCTGAGCCCCTGGGCGGTGAAAATAGTTAACGCGCTCAACTACCTACGGTAAAGCTTTGGGGATGAAGAAAGGCCTGGCGTTCTACTCCTAAAAAACCAGCCACTGGAAACCCTGTGGAGCAGAGTTCTACTCTGACACACGTGGGTTTGCCATGAGTCGTCGGTCGGTAACTGGTTTGTGCTAGACCCAATACTGCTGTGCATTACTGGAGTAATTTCCTCTCATCTTCACACTGCTATCCCCCGCTCTTAACAGACACTGAAACTGAGTTTAAAGGTGGAGTTGAAATTTGAATGCCCCCCTCCTGCCAGCAGCCATCCTGCCCCCCAGCCGTCCTGCCAACCGCCTCTCTCTGATGCCACATATATAGCATCAGCTGTAAAATGAAGGGCAGGGAGAGGAATTATCAATCACAGTTTCTCACGAGGGGACTGCTGAATCCATTTAACATATTTGAAAACAAGGTATATGAGGATGCATCATACATAGTTGGTATGAATATTCTTTCATGAAACAGTTCCAGACCTGCACGTGTGTGTATTTATCTTTGAGTACTTAGTGGGAGGTCACTGTGTTCTTACTGGGAGGTCACTGTCAGAAAATCTGCACCAGCCTGTCTATGGGGACCCCTCCTCAGCAGGAACAGTTCCCTGATGAGGCAAGGCCATCTGCATTGTGTACAGCTCTACATCATGGGCTGGCTTTTCCACAATAATCAGCAGATCCTGGGTGGCCTCCCCTAGGCCTTGAAGCTTTTGTAGGCACGGGGAGTACAAATTAGCTTCAATATTGGCTGATCCTGACTCTCCTGGTTTTATTTTATTTTTTCAAATTGTGCTTTAAGTGAAAGTTTACAATTCAAGTTAGTCTCTCATACAAAAATTTATACACACATTGTTATGTGACCCTAATTGCTCTCCCTATACTGTGACAGCACACTCCTCCTTTCCACCCCAGATTTCCCGTGTCCATTCAACCAGCTCCTGACCGTCTCTGCCTTCTCATTTCCGCTCCAGAGTGGAGCTGCCCATTTAGTCTAATGTATCTGCTTAAGCTAAGAAGCACACTCCTCATGAGTATCACTTCATGTCCCATAGTCCAGTCTAATCTTTGTCTGAAGAGTTGGCCTCGGGAATGGTTTCAGCTTTGGGCCAACAGAGAGTCCGAGGCCATGTCTTCCGGGGTCCCTTCAGTCTCAGTCAAACCATTAAGTCTAGCTTTTCACTAGAATTTGAGTTGTGCACCCCACTTTTCTCTTGCTCCACCCTGTCAGGGTGGTCATTGGTGGTAGCCGGGCACCATCTAGTTCTTCTGGTCTCAGGTTGATAGATTCTTTGGTTTATGTGGCCCTTTCTGTCCCCTCCTGGTTTAAAATAAAAATAATTTCAAAGCCCAATAGGAATACTTTTGGATTACTTGTTAACTTAGGAGTTAATGTGGATAATGGAGAACTAGCCACAGACCAGCACATGATCTCCCCCCACCCCACCCCCACACTCACACACACCAAGCTAAGACTAGAAGATCTATTAGAAGTTTTAAGTCCAGCTTGCATTGCTTCCCAAACGTGAGTTATCTGGAAGACTTTCTGAAATGCAGATTCTTAGGCCCAATTCCTGTGCTCCCTGTGGGGTAGGCCTCTAGAACTGGCATTTCTAATGAGCTTGTGGGAGGATCTGATACACAGCTGGTCTGGGACTCATCATGGGAGTCCAGCCTGTCCAGGGCTTCCTCCCCAGTTGAGCTCCAGACTTTCCCAGGTTGGCTCTAGCCTGTGGGCACCTGACTCTGCTCCATCTTGCCCAGCTCTGCCCTGCCCTCACAGCCTGCCCCGTGCCTGGCATCTGGGTCCTCCCTGGCTTTGTCCTTCCTCCACACTTCTGTGGTGGCCTCACAGCTGCAGTCCATTAGGACACTCAAACCAGCCTCCCAGTGAGGCCTTGTAGCAGCTAGCAGGAAAATGCCCCTACTGAACTGTGTCTGCCATCAGTGGGGTTTGTACTTCAAGAATTTTCAAGACCCAAGGGGGAGAAAAGGTGACCTTCCTTATCCTGAAATGTACTAATACAAGTATTTTGCAAAGGAGTCTGTTGTGTGTGCGATGGTACTCTGTGCAGCCCCTCAAGGAGAGCAAGGTTTTGCCAGCCCCCCTTAAACTAGTGCTTTTTGTATCAGCAAAATAGTAATAAAATGTGCTAACATTTGTTTAGGTCCCTCGGTGGTGCAAAAAGTTTGCATTCGGCTGCTTACTGAAAGGTTGGTTGTTCAAAATCACCCAGTGGCTCCACAGAAGAAAGTCCTGGCAATCTGCTTCCATTAAGATTACAGCCAAGAAAACCCTATGGAGCAGTTCTACTCTGTAACACATGGGGTTGCCATGAGTCGGAATTGACTCAATGGCAGTGAGTTTGTTTGTTTTTTTAGAACATTTGTTTAGTACTCTATTATGTTATACTAAACATCTATGTACTTAAAAACCCACTGCCGTCGAGTCAATTCCGACTCAAGGTGACCCTATACAGAGTAGAACTGCCCCATAGGGTTTCCAAGGCTGTAAATCTTTACTGAATCAAGCTGCTACATCTGTCTCCTACGGAGCAGCTGATGTGTCCTAACCACCAACCTTTTGGTTAGCAGCCAAGCACCTTACTCACTGAGCCACCAGGGCTATGTACTTATTTATGTTAGTAATCACCACATCTCTAGGGTAGATAGGATTGTCACCTGCTTGCAGATGAGAGCAGGGAGTTACAATTGATTTCTTTACCACGTGGCGTTCTGCGTGTTTTACAGGAATTAGCCCTGTGAGGCAGGTGCCGTTGTCACCATCCTCCTGCATGGGTGGGGAAACAGGCACAGTGAGGCAATAGGACTGGCCCGAGGTCACCAGCTGGTCAGGGGTGGGAGGCTCTAACCCACTGTCACTCTCTCTTCACCAGGCCACTGTGGCTGCTCCAGCACAGGTCAGACTTTGCCCCAGACCACATGCTAACCAATGGCAGGCTGACCCTGTGGAGCTCCTGACTCCAAATCCAGTGCTCTTTCCACTCTTCCGTTATGGAAGCCGCTGGACTGGGTTGAGGGCTAGATCTGCGTGCCACTCCCAGTGACTGTCTGTGGGCTGGTCAGCCCTGGTCTCCTGGGTGGAGGAATGGGGTTGGCCCTTGTCATGCTTTTTTTATCTGAAGACAAGCTTGCTCAGTTCAGGCAGCAGAGAGGATTGGGGGACGGGGGCTTTTCTGTGTATCTTGCATGATTGTTTAGGAAAATTTGGGACCACAGGATGGGATGGAGCAGATGAATGAGGGCAGTTCCCAGTGGGGTGGATGCTTGGTGGGTACGTCGTTGTTCTTGGAGGCCCTGGGAGAGTAGGCTGCGTGACCAGAGCGCGGTACGGGTGAGCTTCCCTCCACCAGCAGCTCTACTCCTGAGGGGCTGGGAACACACCTTTTATTTTCAATTGTGCTACAACATGTATAACAAAACATTTGCCACTTTAAGTGTTTTTACATGAACAATTCACTGACAGTAATTACACCCAGCATGTTGTGTAACCATCACCATTATCCATTTCCAGATAGTTTTCATCCCCTATAACAGAAACTCAGCACCACTTAAGCAATAACTCCCCGTTGCCCACTCCCCTCAGCCCCTGGTGACCACTGATATATGTTGGTGTCTATGCATTTGCCTATTCTAGATATTTCATATAAGTGGGATCATAAAATACTTGTCCTTGTGTGTCTGCCCTGTTTGACTCAGGATGTTTTCAAGGTTTATCAGTGTGGTAGCGTGTATTAGAACTTCATTTCTCTTTATGGCTGAGTAATATTCCACTGTATAGATAAACCACATTTTGTTTATCCATTCATCCTTTGATGGACATTTAGGCTGTTTCCATCTTTTGGTTATTGTGAATAGTGCTGCCATGAACATTGGCATACATCTATGTTTGAGTCTCTGTTTTCAAGTCTTTTGGGTAAATACCTAGGAGTGGAATTGCTGGGTCATATGGTAACTCTGAGGAGCCCTGGTGGCACAGTGGTTAAGCGCTCAGCTTCTAACGAAAAGGTCGGCGATTCAAACCTACCAGCAGCTACACAGGAGAAAAACATGGCATTCTGCTTCTGTAAAGATGTCAGCCTTGGAAACCCTATGAGGGCAGTTCTGCTCTGTCCTGTAGAGTTGCTGTGAGTCGGAATCCACTTGATGGCAATGGGTTATGGTAATTCTATGTTTAACTATTTGCGGAAAAGCCAAGTTGTTTTCCACAGTGACTGTACCATTTTACATTCCCACTAGCAATGCACTAGGGTTCCAGTTTCTCCACGTCCTCACCAATACTTGTTATTTTCCTTTTTTTTTTCTGATAATAGCCATCCCTGGGTGATACAAACAGTTAAGCACCCAACTTCTAACTGAAAGATTGGTGGCTCAAATCCACCTAGAAGTGCCTTGGAGGAAAGGCCTGGTAGTCTACTTCTGAAAGATCACAGCCATTGAAAACCCTATGAAGCACCGTTGCACTCTGAAACACACAGGATCGAC